ATATAATATTAAACAAATCTCATGATGGATTTTACTAAAGAGTTGAGGAGTTGACCTAACATGTTTAAGCTTTTACTGCAGGCTTCCCACCAACCTGTTTTCCACTTGTTAGTCCTTCTCCTCCCTCCCATTCCCTCCCTGTTCCTCCCTCTCACGTAACCTCCTCTCTGTCTCCATCCAAGTGGCTCTCGGAGCAATTTACTCGTGTTCGAGTCACTTCCCATCATGCCTCACCCCTCATATGCGATGCTCACGCCACGTGTATGTCTGCTTTGACAACAGGACAAGAATGAGTTTCCTGTCCATGTGAGTGACGCCGTCCCTCGTAAGGATGACCCAAGGAAGGTAAAAGAAAATAAAATAAAAATAAAAAACAGAGCAGCTACAGCTGACACACACACGAAGTTATTCCAGCACTCTCCACAATGCTTTTCACATTCCTTTTACAAGAATTTGACCGCGTCAGCACTAACTAGAAGCAGATGGTGAAAGTTTGACTGCGGGGCCTTGTTACGCTAACTTCTGGGGATGATTATGAGGCAAAGTCAATCCTCTGGAAAGGAGTTGAGCTGTGATTTATTGGGCGATGCATTCAGGAGCAGGGTCTAGAAGCTGTAATTTGGCGTTGGGCTGTACAGCAGCTGCGTGTCTTCCAGTCGACCCCCCCGTGGTGACAGTCGTTAGTGCTCTGTGGAGTGTGAGCCCTTCACTTTGTTTAGCTAGTGCCAGTGTTCAGCAGCAGACGAGCCCGTTTAACTCGGGGAAAGACTTCCTTTCCCTTGTTCAGACCCACATTCCAAATGTTTTATTACCACCATGACATCTGTAACTTGTAGTGAGATGCAGCGAATACATAATTTTATTTTTTGTATACAATCATCCCTGTCAAAACAAAGAAGTAGAACATTGTTGATCCTTAACTTGGTTGGATATCAAGAAAACATTTTTTTTGCTTCAAATTCACTCCCTCCAACCAAACCCAAACATCTCAATATGTGTGAATAAGATTTAAAAAATTAAATAAGGGGTTAAAATTTTGGCAGTAATTTACACATTTCTAATACTGCCATGAAAGCGTAGTGACTTAAATACTTTAGTTCTTTTGAGGGGTGTCCCAGAGTACGACTACTTCAGTTTGGATACTTGCCAATAGTGATATGCAGATTGATACTGAAATATCAATACTACCGATACCAGAACTTTGCTCTAGAATCGATACTAAAATCAAAATATTGATACTTTGATACTTCAGTTGTTTCACATAATGCATATCATTACTAGGAAAATAGTGGAAAATAACTAAACTATTCAAATCTTGTCTAAATCATATGTGGTTGGAGGGAACTATTTTTTCTTGTGCTTGAGTAATGCATCAACACAGTGGCCTGTGCTCAGTCAGTCACTCAGCCTGTAGATGTATGGCAGGTCATTTTAACATAAAATCTGCTTCTTCTGACTGTAATTACATTCTAGATGATGGGTTCCCAAACCTTTTTCACGCCATGGCTCCACAAACAGCATTAGCTCTGGCCAGGGACCTTCTTGCAAACCTACAAACAATGCTACAAAATATACAAAGTAACAACTTTTTAAAAATTTTTCTCACTTTTATTCACTATTCAAAAATTATTATATTTCTTTAGAATAAGAATTTTAAATTGTGCTAAGCAAATATAAGATTAGGGTAAGAAAGACTTATAAATTAAAAAATAAATGACTATGTCATGTATTATTTATAAAGTGATTATTTGAATAAACGCTACTTTTTAAGATTTACCAGATACATTATGTGTGTTATCACAAAGTATCAGTATTGCCGATACCAGCCACATTTACTCGGTGTCACTATCGGAAAGAAAATTGACAGTATCGAGCATCACTACTTGCCAATACTGAGTCCTTCCTGAGTTAGAACTTAAACATTACATAATGACTAAAAATGCATTTATTTTATTTAGAACAAGGTGGTTTGCCTTCCTTATAAGTCTACAGCCCCTCTGACAGGATCCAATCAAATATTCAGCATGATGTTGCAAAATAGCAGTATCTTAATATTGGTATCGGTTCGAGTATCGGGCCTAATACCGATGCCAGTATCGGTATCGGGACACAACTAGTTCTTTACACAAACTTGTTGCAGCATGTTGTGTTGCTGGTTTAGTAGATTTGTAACAACTAGAGGAAGGTTTTAACATGACTGTGCCAGAAATAAACATGGTGCCATGTTTGCAGCCCCTTTGGAAGTCAGGAGGGACTAAATTAGGAAATGTAAACTTTTTTAAAAATTCTTCTGGTCTCTCTCTGGCAAAGTTTTTGGATAAAAAGTTGTTTGAAGTTGTTGTGAATCCATGTTTTGTCGACATAAAGGGGATCTGAGTAAATACAGCTGAGTGACTGCATGTGAATTTAGAAATAGTTTCGTAAAATGCAGGTGACGGCATGAGATTTTAACGTTTGCTCAGTTTGTGGCGCAAACAGTCTAAATTTTTTGAATGGCTCCTTACAAGGAATGCACCGAGTTGAGGACCACAATGAGCTGTTGGTAGTTTTATTTCTTTAACTCCTTGTAATACCATTTATTTTTCCTCCTTAACTACAGAGACAGCCACTCGCTTCAATTTTTTATGGAAAACAGGCAGAGTGAGGGAGTACAGCAGCTCTTGGGGCCTGTGACGTGATGACGTCATCACGTACGGCATGTGTGATGATGTAACTCGTTCAAAATGGAACGGCTCTATGAACAAACTACTCGTTAAGATCCGTTTCTCCCATCTTTAGCTAAAACAACATGGTGAAAGTGGTGTTGTCTAAACCGAAGCGTAGAAACACAATATTAAAAAAAAGTTGTGATATATAATCCTGAAAGGCAGGTTTGTTTTGTGTTGTTTTTAACTCACGTTCCTAAAACAGTTTTTCGTTATAAACACTGTTTTTTTTTTTCCACTCATGTTTTTTTTTGGCAGAATCGATGTTCTCAGTAAAGTCTTCTCTGAGGGGAACAACAAATCTGTTCCTTCCCTGGAAATGAGAGCGTCTTCCAAATGTTTAGTGCCAATGTGCATATTGAATGTTTTTTTTAATCTGCCCTTTAGTCTGTTTTAATCTGCAGCAACATTCAGTACATTCATTGTAAGAAATGCAGATTTAAACATTGTAAACACAACATATAGAACGGACAGTTCTCCCTCAGCTTGCTGTTGAGTTTCTGAAGTCAAAAAGCTTGTGTAATGAGCAGGAATCCTCTGCGGGCATCTGAGGTAGAGCAAAAACAATTTCACCGCTCGGTGTGAAGTCCAGAGAGCAGCAAGACATTTCTATCTCTGCTCTACTGAGTCGTCTCATTTTTGTTGTCCTCCTTCCTGCATGCCTGTCATAGCTGCTGTCCAGCCATGCAGAGGCTGAGAGCGGGGCCACTCTGATGTACGGTTTTATGATGGTGTCTGTGTGTTTTCCTTTGTTTCCACTCCCCAGGTTCTTCACGACTATTTTTCTCCCTGTGGTTACGTTTGTGCCCAGTAAGCTGTCAGGACCTTCGCACTCGTATGACATGATTTAAGCCACGCGTCCCGGTCGCCATGATGGCCTCGGCGGTCGCCAATGGAAGCCGCGATGGACAGGCTCTGGTCCTGAAGGGGGTGGACCCGGAGACCTGCATGATTGTCTTCAAAAACCACTGGGCTCAGGTACGGCACACACGCAGGCAACAAACTGCTGCCTCTGACACAGATATGAGAGCTGGGTTTCATCAGATTTTGAGTTTTAAGTCTACAAACCCAGCGAGCAGCCTCCTCTGCACTGCAGCGTGGTGAGGTTCAGTGGAATCTTGGCAGGGTGAAGCATTGTCTGGTTCTGCACCTCAGCACGTATCCCTGTTCTCCTCTGTTGGACCTGGAAGCCTGATAATCCTGTGTCTCCTGCACTCAGCGGGAGAAACTTTTACTCTGACGTGAGTGTGATCCTGGCTACACACTGAGGAGGTGGGGCCGTGTGATGTTCCCTCAGCCCAGGGTTATAGGTTGTAGGCGTGTGGGGTCTGGACTGGATCTTTGTCAGGCTAAGTTAAACACAGTTTGTCTGTTTTTAGTAGTTATAATGAATGCAAAACATGTTTCCAGGGATGAGCTGTTGGATTTGAATCAGATGGTTTTCAGTCTGAACACTCATTTCATCTGACTTTTATCTGTGAGGTGGCATCGATCCAAAAATAATGGTACTAACCTCGAGTCCTGCAGTTTAAACATTGTAGCTCCACACGTCTTCAGCTACGGAACAGAAAGTCCAGTTGTTTCTTTTTGATCTTTTTATTTTCCATGTCCTGGATGATTGAACTGAGCGTTAAGACCTGCAGTGTGAACGTAGCCGATGAGCTTTTATTATCTCTCATGGAGACTTGTAATGCACAGTGGCGGACAAAGTTAGACATTTATTAAGTTCTCAAGTCTTTTGCATGCTTTCTTTAAATCTCCTAATCCCTGAACACAAGCAGTATTTGTGATTTTTTTTTAATCGTGAAGCCAGTCAGGGTCAAATATTCAGCATTCAAAAGGATTTATATTAAACTGGATTTATAGTATTACGTGGGAATATGAAACCTTGAACACAGTTCTGCTTTGCTTTTTTCTTTTTTACAACTGCATAAAGACATATTGTAATGGTTTGTAAGCAATATGCTGCCTTTTTCCTAACATAGCATGCACAAAGTCGTAATTAGAAAGTCTTTTTTTAACACTTCTACAAAAGGAATCTGTTTTGTTTGTGACAATAAAAACCCCACAACAGCACAAATGCACAGCATATGCCTCACGTTTCAAGTTGGATTCATATTCCCTCACATTTGGGTAAAACTTGGAATCCTGATAATAAGAGGTTTGTTAGTCGCACCTACTGGCAGCACAGTCCCACTCCTTTAGTCCCATCTGTTGCCTGATAATTGTTCTTTCCTGCAGATTTAGCTAGCAGTAAGTAAGTAAATAAATAAAAACAGAGGAGCGTGTTGCATGAATTATTTATCGGCTCTGTCTCTCAGGAAGAAGCTCTGCTTGTCGCCGTGTCCACGGATTGGATTTGTGTTCGTTTGCTGAGTCTTATCTGCAGCTGTCCCGGGCTCACATGGCTCACTGTGTTTGTGTCATTACCTGATTCTTTGTGTTCATGGTCAACACCCTTAATAAATCATTAAAAGTTATAAATACATTTCTGTTCAGTAGCACACAAACACTCGGCTACATAGTGAGAAGTGTTGATTTCAGCTTTTCTAAACTGAAGGGATGCAGAGATGATATTGGGACTAGACATTTTTTCTATTTAATTCTCAGATAAAGCCTTTTGTGTTTGATTTAGTTGCATTAATTGCATTACGTCAGTTCTGAACAGACATGTTTAGGAAATGGAGGCCAGCAATTTGACTCTGCTGTCTTGTAATTGGCCTCCCGGACCACACATGGTTTTGCCAGCACCCTTCTCAGGAAAACTTGTCAGGCAGCTTCAAATGCAAACTTCTGTGTAGTGGCTCATGAGATATTTTGTTGACAGACACAGGCAAAAACATTATTGTCTTCATTCACATTTTGACAGTCATTGATGATAAAGAGTTGTGAGTCACTGTAGCGGTTTCGCCTCGAAAGGAAACATTTTTATACAACAGCTGTCAGATTTCTTAAAAAAATAAAACAACGTGATTACAGATCCAAAATTAGTAGATGTGATGTTAAAGGTTACAAACTGAGTCATTTTTGAAGAAAAAAGTTTATTTAAAATCAGTCCATTGAGTTCGATTGAAGTAATCCCACTGACAAGCAGCCAGACAGAACAAGCCGCCCAAACTTCCTCAACACGTAACACAGCTCCAGCTAATCGTGTCCCCAGAGACTGAGGCCTGAGCTGCAACAGACCGAGGCTGGGATTACAAACTGTGTTCTCTAGTTACCATTAGCCATGCCCTGTTCTGTCATACACAACCAGTTATTGCCATGGCAGCCGCGTCAGGCTGGGGACACTGGGCCTTTTTATTGTGACACTGGTTTCTACACAGTGGACACACACGGGAATGCCTGAGCACACAAGGCTGTTTCATTCTGCCCTGTTTATCTGAGTTCATGCGTACCGCCGTGGTTTATTTACACCCATTTTTCTGCAGCCAGTCGACCATCAGGAAAATGGGAGGGTTTTTATCTGTTTAGTTAGAGCTGTATGCTTGTTGATGTGGTGATAAGACCAAAAATAAACCGGTTATGTGTTGGTTTTTGTTATTTATAACATCTTAAACTGCCTATAAAAAGAACTTAAACTGGTGCCACAGTTGATCACAATGACCAGGATAATAAACTGAAGGAAGCAGAGCTGTTCTTTGTGTCAGATGTCCACTTGTACCATCTTATCTATATTCTTACAATTACAAAGAGAAGTTAGCAAGTACATGGTTATTAAATCAGGACAAAGTGCGAACTGATCAAAAAGTCAGGTAGTAAAGTTATGAAGGTTGATAAATGACTTCCCTGACTGATTAAATACACCTGTTATAGATGTGGTGCCTTGAATGGCCTCAGTTTGTTGAAATAGCTAAAACTGACTGGATTGATCAGCTAATTTTGCTAGCCAAAGTGGATTGCTGCCATCTTAAAACAACTAAAAATCTCCAAGCAGTTTGTGCAAATTTCATTTTGAAAGCTTTTTGAGTCGCACACGATTGTCGTTCCATCAGAAATATTTTATTCCTGCAGAAAGCGCCCCATGGCTGCACCCGAAGTGCTCCATCAAGCTGCTGCTATTTGCTCTTACAAATAATCATAAAATATTATGTGAACAACTGAGCGGTGCTAAATTATTGGCAGTGTAAAGGTATATAAAATTGTATTTGCAAGAACTTCTTTGAAATTTGAGATTGGAGATTTTATTTTATTTTAATGGCACCAATTTGTTTTGGTCTCCCCGCTGCTCAGACTAGCAGTTAACCTGTCAGTCTGGTTAGAATTAAATTTTATTTCTCTGAACTGAGGTTGTTCATTGAACAATCTACAACAGGTAAGATATTATTTGTTCATAACCTTTCCAGAAAATCCCACTTTAAACGATTATTATTGCTACATGAGAAAAAAGAATTGTTGAAAACATCTGTCAGTACCAGAGGTTTTGTATCAACACTATAACAGATGTTATTGATTAAACCTGAATTTTTGTTTCATAGGTTGTGAAGATCCTTGAGAAGCACGACCCCTTGCGCAGCAGCTCCGCCCTGTCCTCTTTGAGTGTCATCAACCTGAGCTCCGGCTCCTCCGGCGGCAGCCACCGCTTCGGCCCGATCCCCGGCGACGAGGCGAGCGCCGTGCAGAACTACGTGGAGCACATGCTCTTCCTGCTGATGGAGGAGGAGAGCGGCCAGGCCGGCGCCATGGGCCCCATCCTGGAGTTCGTGCTGATGGAGAACGTGATGGAGCGCCTCTTCGTGTGGAGCCTGCGCCGGGAGTTCACGGACGACATGAAGCTGGAGCAGCTGAAGATGTACGAGATGCTGGTGGGCCAGGCGCGCCAGCCCCTGCTGCACCACAAGCCCGTCCTGCGGCCGCTCATGATGCTGCTGTCCTCCTGCTCGGGCGCGGCGGCGCCGGCCGTCGAAACGGAACTGGTGCTGCTGCTGAACCAGCTCTGCTGCGTCCTCGCGAAGGACCCCTCGATTCTGGAGCTGTTCTTCCACACCAGCGAGGATCAGGGGGCGACGAACTTCCTCATCTTCTCCCTGCTCATTCCTTACATTCACAGGGAGGGGACGGTGGGCCAGCAGGCAAGAGACGCCCTGCTGTTAATCATGTCATTGTCCGCTGAGAATGAGCGAGTGGCCAAACACATCGTGGAGAACACCTTCTTCTGCCCAGTGAGTCCAAAATATATTTAAAAAAGACTTTTTCCTCATAGGATGTCAGTATTTTCTTTTATCTTTTTTTTATTGTCTATGAAAGAAAATGTTTTATCCCTCTTTATCAGCATTATTGCAATTATTCTCCAAAATGAGTGAGACCCCAAGTGTCACAATTAGTATAAACATGAAGATTATTCCATAAATCCCACTTCCAAAGGTTAAAACAGAATCTGGCTCTGAATGGTACAAATAGTTGTCATTTGTAGGATTACAGCTCTGCTCTGAGCTGATCCAATATAAATAATTGCCTTTATCTGCAGCTGCAGGGAGTGCATGGGAAAATGAAAAATGGTTTTGATGCAATGCCAGTAAAACAATATGAATTTTCTAGTTCTAAAGGCATCCACAGAAACCACAGGAGGGGGTAATAGTACTGAGAAGATATACGTTACCACAATGCTAATGATACCCTGATCAGACAGAGCTCTGCTGTTTCAAATCCTACTTTGTAAAATACTAAAGAGTTCTTAAAGAAGACAATATTTCTTATTGTCCTGATGCATCTCAGTAATCCAGGTAAAAAATCAAAAGGAAAAAAATTGTATAGGATACAATATTGTAAATATTGTAAATATTGTATAGTCTGAGAGTTTCAGGCAAAAATTTTTGCCTGAAACTCTCAGACTGAAGAAGTCTCTTGAAAGAGAGACGAAACGTTTCATTAAAGAATAACCCGTCCAGAGGACCTATACATTTTTTTTCCTTTTAATATTTCTTATTGTGTTGAGACTACAGCATTAATGAGTTCAAATTTATGTTCTACTCGTTTTTTTGGCACTTTTTAACTTGCAAATGTTGCAAATGTATGTAAGAGGCATACAACTAAATGTATGCTGAGTGTTAAAATCTGCTGCAGCTCTGTGCTTGTTTATAATTTGGTTTAGTTGTCAATTACAGAACATTATACTGCCTTATTAAAGTTTACAAGAAGCCAAAAACATCCATTTATTCTGAGCTGGGAGAGGTGAAAAAATTCAGACAATGAAGGTGCTAACTGCTTTTGTAACCGTTTAATATGCCTACTAATATAAACAGAATATGAAAAACATGAATGGTTTATTAAGATTTTAAAAGTTGATATTTCCACTTTGAAAGTGTATAAAATGTAATCAGTAGCACCTCTTTTGATAATGTGACAAAATATTTGTCTTTTTGGTGAGATTTTCACAGGCTGTTTGTAGTTTTTAACTGAATAAATAGATGACCAATGACAAAAAGGTTTAACAGAGCCAAAAGCAGTATTAGATAAATGGCCAGCATGTAGCATTAGTGCTGTCATGCTGATGTTTTGCAAAATCTCTGAGTAAAATAGCTCAATAGTAATGTTTAACTTTAAACTCAAACGGCTGAGGTTGATGAGAAGTTTTTCAGGTATCTGATCACAAATCACAGTGCACAGTTTGACCAGCTCTAAAGAAAAAAAAATCCATGCCATTGTTCTAAAAAGTTGTTTTTTCCTTGTGAATCGTATTTGTGTCAGACTTTTAAAAACTTGTCAAGAATTTCCCCCTCAGGACCCAAATGTGCTGTCTGACGAGTGACACGGTGAAGCTGAGAATAATGTAGGATCTTCTTCTGGCACTCTCCTCCTCAGGTGCTGGCCACAGGGCTGAGTGGCCTGTATTCATCTCTTCCCACCAAGCTGGACGTTCCCAGTGAAGAGTGGCACTGCCTTCACAGAGAGGACTGGCTGCGGATGCCGTCGCTCGTCCAGTTTCTGAACTCGCTAGAGTTCTGCAACGCCGTGATTCAGGTGAATGCGTGTGCTGACTGAAGGAAAACGATGGGTGTAATCACCAAGGTCCATCTTTTGAAATCTGGCCGCTCCTCTGCCCGACTACAGTTTTTACTGACATTTCTCTAAAACCAGGTGGCTCATCCATCCATCAAGGACCAGTTGGTGGCTTATATCTACAATGGTTTTCTTGTGCCTGTCCTTGCACCAGCTCTGCACAAGGTTGGACTCCCTTCCTTTTATCCTTTTTTTCATCCTTTTTTTTAAACAAAAACATGGAAAGGAGCAGATCAGAGCCACATGCAGTGTAAATACAGAGTTAGCCACTAATTGTCATCCAGATGGATCTAAAAGAGCATTTGTTTTGGTCTCAGTTGCTGAAAAGCTAGAAGAAAATGTAATAAATAAACTTTCAGCTGATCTGTGGCTTGACTGATGTTTCCTGTCTGTGAAGCTCACTTTAGAGGAGGTGATGACCACCACAGCTTACCTCGACCTGTTCCTGAGAAGCGTGTCTGAGCCGGCCCTGCTGCAGACGTTCCTCTCCTTCATCCTCCTCCACCAGCACGAGAGCGTCTATATTTTAGACACGTTGGTCAGCCGCATCAACACCCCTTTCCAGGTAATACTGAACCTGCCGACACAAACTATCCCCGTCCCCCCATGAAAAGTTTAAAAGTTACAAAAACCCAAAAGCCGTAGCTCTCATTTGCACAAATTGGGCCAAAATCACACAAAATATGCAAAAGTGTTTTTATTGTACCAAAAATATAAAAAAACAGTAAAAACAATAGTGAGATTCACATGATACATAAGTAGCTGCCTGTTTAAAGTTTACTCATTTGATGATTTTAGTATTTACTCTGTATGTCTCATTATTTTTTCCTTCCCATGAAACATCCCAGCTGGGCACAGTGTCTCTGGCACTTTTCCGCACTCTCATCAGCTTCTACTGTGAAGATGTGATGCTGCAGCTCGTGCTGAAGTGAGTGGCCCTCATGCAGACACGCCCACGTCACACAGAAAGACGTGACATTGTTTACATCGCAACATCATTACGATGAGCTTTTTATCCTCGACCTCCCGCTGCCGTTACCTGTCTGCCCCCCCTCCCTCTGCCATTGTTCTCCCACCACTGGTTCTCCTGTCACACCTGCCCCTCTGCCTCTGCAGATACCTGATCCCCTGCAACCACATGATGTTGAGCCAGAGGCGCGTGGTGAGGGAGAGGGACTTCTACTCCTTGTCGTCGGCCAAGATTCTGGCTCTGACGCCGTCCTGCTGCGCTCCGGATCACAGCCCCCCGCCCCTCCGACAGCTGGACTCCATCCTCTTTTCTAAAGGGGGGGTGGAGCCTTCCAGCAACTCCAGCAGCAAAGGTAATGAGATGTGAAAGCAGGACAAGTTTTTGTTGGATTTCTTTTGGATGAGAGTCATAGTTTTGTACATCATTTATGATCAGTTAGAAAAACATCAAAGAGATGGTTGTGTACTAATTTTGTTTTTTGCATAAAGCAGTTATGAGTTTACTCTTTTTAGCATGGCAGGTCTATAACAGTTTCAAGGGTATCAAAAAGGCCCAAAGTCAGTCGTTGTGGGACTGCTTTCCATGACATTCCTTTCGTATGCATCACCAACAGCCAAGAAAGGCGGGTGATCATGTAATTGTCTGTGTGTATTAGCAAAATATTTCATGAGCCGCTGAAACACAAAACGATCTAAAACATTACATGGTGGTAGCTGAATCCCAAACAAAGTGCTAAAACATTGAGTAAAGGCTTTGTTAAAAATCTTACCATAACTGTTGAAGTAAACCTTGTCTGTAAGCAAAATATTTTATGAACCACAAAACCGATTTGAAGGAAATTCTCAGAAAGTATTATTAAGATGTACAAGTGAATAACTTTTAAAAGTCGACAAGATTCAAGGTGGCCGCCCCCATAAATGAACTCTATCTAGTAAACACAAATCAGTCACGTTCATAGGTATTGTTAGGATACAGTATAGTGTGATAGTAGGTGAGTCTAATGTTAGACATTTGTTTTGAGCCCAAACAGATTGCACAAGAACTTTGTTTATAACTTTGCCAATAACTAATGCAATCTCTCCATTTCTGACAGTTTCACAAAGTTGTTCCTGAATTTACATTTACAGTTTTTGGGAGTCAGTCCAATTCAACATGGCCACCACAGCTAATCAACTTTAACCAGTAGAAAAAAAAATCCAAATGAGTCCCTGCATTTCAAAACACTCACAAACAACTTTTCAAATCAGCAGTAAAGAGAATTCATTCATCAGATTTAACTATACCCAACCACATTTTAGTGGGATGATGGTTAAAAAAGGTAGGAGAAAATTAAATGTACTGAAGGAAACATGTTACAAAAACTGAAATCATTTCTCAATGTTACAGTACAGAAATGTGTTAAGGCATGTGGCGCGCTGTAAGGGGCCGATCTGCATTTAATTGAAACAGGGGCACGTAACACGGATGATTGTCTGCTTTTATCAATAGCGAGAGCTCCCGCTGTGTTGCTGCATTATATCACTTCACCCCCACCTGCAGTTAAATGTCAAACTCATTATTTCTGCTCTGTGTGAAGTGCTGTGTTTCAGCGCTGCACGTCAGCTTTCATCATTTCTTTTCTGTCTTTACCAGACGCACAAAATCACTTCTCGTCGGTGGATGACGGCTCGGGGAACTCCTGCACCATCGGCTCCGAGATCTACCTGGATGTCAGTTACCTCCATTACCTCTATGACGCCCGGCTTAGCATCAGCAGTTGCATCCGGGCTTGCCAGGTCTGGTCGGCGCCGTACGACGGTGAGGACCCTCCTCCCGACAAATACCAACCGGGCGTCCTTGAGGAGGCGGGGCTTGAGAGTCGACAAACCCAAGTGGCTCTGAAGAGAGGCCCGCCCCCGCTGTTGCCTCCAAGTGCTCGGCCCGGCCTCCTGCCGAGTCGAGAGCCGCACTCAGTCACCCAGCTGGAGCTGGAGTGGGACGATACCTATGATGCCTGTCCGGTGCAGACAGCTGAGACTCCGGTGGAGGCAGAACCTCCTCAGCTGCCACCATCTGAGCCCCCAAAACACATCCAGGACATGCGGAAGACTGCTATCATGCTGGTGAAAGGTTCATACATCGAGGAAAACGAGTTCCAAGACGACGTCATGGTGTACGATCTTGTCGCAAAGAAGGACAGCTCGGAGGCCGAGCGCACAAACCGTGAACTGAGAGGTTCGGCATCAGAGGAGGAACAGCCAGAACCAAAGGATGTTCCTCCAAAAAACGCTCTCAGTCTAACCCTCCCCACCTCTGTCATGGCTGACAATGACAAAAAGGTGAAGGCCAAAGGTCAGACTCATTGTAACGGAAACCATCCAAATACAACTCCCACTGAGTTGGGAGTTGATTTTTTAAGTCAGTATGAGGAGCTCATTCGTACCCTGGACACTGAGGCAGGTGGGAAACGGGCCAAAGACGAAGGAGAGACGAAGAAGCCCGCCACACCAGTAAGGAAGCAGGAGGAGAAGGTGGAGAAGGAGGAAGAGGAGGAGATGATGGACTTCGATTCATTTGCTGCTGAAACACCAGAGCCGGAGAAGCTGCGCTCCCCGTTTGGAACAATTCAAAGGCTTCGCAGTGGAAGTTCTTCTCGCTGTTATTTAGTGCCTTTTACAGGTGAAGGATTTTAAAAGACCTCATTGTTTCTATGTGGAAAATCTTTGGAAATCAAATTCAGTTATTAAGTTTTAATATGTGAATTACAAAAAAATATATATTGTAGTGGTTTGTTTGCTAAAAACATGCAGAAAAATGCAATATACATTTTTGGATGCTGAATAATAGTTAATTTGCCAATTAACATTTTTAAACAAAGTAGTTAAATGCTGCTGTAAATAAAGGAAAAGTAATTAAACGTCTGTGGTTGAAGACGTTTTGCTTCCCATCTGTTGCTAAAATTAAAATAGAAGACGGTGGCGTTTGAAGTTTTAAATTTGCACAAAATGCTCTGTTTTATGCAGCTAAATTCACGTGAGGATAAATCTCACTCCCCTCCCACCAGGGAGTCATTAGTGTCTTTGTTTTACCTGGATCACTAGAGAAATGCTTTGGTCACATGCATCACACGTGAAAATGCTTATAAAGGTGAAACTTCACAAATGGAAGAAAAAAAACAACAAAAAAACAAAACAGTAAGTTTTCTAAACCTTACAACGGAGCATTGAGCCAGATGCCTATTTTCTCTTTAATTTCCTTTTTCATGCACGACCAAAGCATCTCTTATGTGAGCTGAGCAAACGTGGATCCTAAAGTCTTGATGATTCTTAAAGCATTGTAGGAGTTTTAGAGAATCTGGGACATTTGTTTTCTAAACATGACCTACTGGTGGCTTTCAAACCCCAAAACACATTACGCCAAAGACTGGTTCCCCACAAAGATTCGGTCCCCCAGTACAGCGTAACGTGTATGCTTTTAAGTGCCAGCAGGATTGTGACCAGTTATACATCAAAGAAAAACGGGAGCCACTGTTTAAAAGGATGGCCCAACACAGAAGAACAACATCATCAGGCCAGGACTCGACAGTTTACACTCATCTACAGGCCAGCAGTCACTCTTTGAAAGATGATGTTCTCATCCTTGATAGAGAAAAATTGGTTTTGCGAGGAGTAAAGAAAGTCTTTTTTTTTCTTTTTTGAAGAGAAACCATTCGTCAAACTCTCACAATGTCATTATTGCGAGCATGATTCATCCCTTTGTAAACAATAGGGATAATCAGGACCCTAATGACTCTTTGGAGGTAGAAAAATCTGCATGTTTGAAGCTTGTAACTCCACACGTGGGAACTGAAACATCTTCAACTATAGAATAGAAATCAAGATTTTTTTTCTCCTCTTTGACTTAAATGTTCCCCTGTCCTGCAGGTCCATTTATAAGTGTGCTGTTTTCTCGTTTGGAGAACATGCTCACCAACAGGCTTCACATCAACTTGTTGCTGACTGGCATTCTGGCCCAGCTAGCTGCTTATCCTCAGCCTCTGCTGCGATCGTTTCTCCTCAACACCAACTTGGTTTTTCAGCCAACAGTTCGCTCTCTTTACCAGGTAACAGATGAAAATTTGAATCTTCCAAGTCGGCCAAAGCTGTAGCTAATTCATTCTCACTTGTTTGAACTCTACATATGTAAATCCAAGAGCTGGTTTCAATATTTTTTCCAAGGTGCTCGCGACTGTGAAGAATCAGATAGAAGAGCTCGCTGCGAGCAGGAAGGAGTTTCCGGAGCTGATCACTACAGCCCAACACTGGCTGCTGGCAAGAGAGGCTTCATGTATGACAACAGGTGAGCACACACCTTCTGCCAGGAACGTCTTTTTACTGCTCAGCTGATCAGTGTTTGAAAAACATGTTCTGCCGAAGAGTCAGTCAGATAAGAACATTACCACGACTTGTTTCTGTTTTGTTGATTTGAAGTTAGAAACAAAAATGGCTGGATTTGGTGAGGGTGGGGTGCAGGTCCTCATGCCTCCAGTGATTTGACTTGTTCCTGTTGGAACAATGCACCCTAAGACTTTCATTATTTTAAAATGGACATTTTAAATTTAATATTCTGCTTTGATAACAGAAAAAAATTCTAATGTGACTATTTTGCGTTATTAAGATTTGTAGGCCTTCAGGCACTGAAACATAACGTGACAATCCCTTTAATCTAAAAGACTGGTAAAGGTGGAGCAGCTAGACTGGCTAAAACATAATTTGCTAAATTTTATTCTTATCTTTTTTTTAACCTACGATTAGATTATTTGCACCTTAAATCAATCTTGGAGGTACTCAAATTGCAGCCTGATCTGAGTAAATATTAAAAAAAAATTCTTAAAATGACTTATTCTGGTCAGGGAGGTGATTCTGTTTTATAAATACAAATATATGCAGATATTATACAATTTAGTCCACCTGCTAGTGAGTTCATTAAAAAATACAACTGCATTTTATATCATAAATTCAATTTACATTATTGCAATAATTTTCTGATGCCCAGCCTGTGAGCTGATGGTTTTTAGTAACTGTGGCCCCTTGAGCAGTTTAGTTAAATCATCTCGATCAGTATGTGCTGGTCGAATTGATTTGTGGTAAAACTCCTGCTCAGCATTTTGGGAAACTGAGCGGTATCTTTTAAATGTGAATTGTGTATTTTACGTTTTCTCAGTTTGAGAGCCCTTATCTGGCTTTCTATATGTTTGCATCGTGGCCATGTGAGATACAATTCTCACGAGTATTAGAATAAAAGTCTGAGTATTCACAAAGATGGAAAATGGTCCAGTATGATCAAATGAGTGTAAAAATCAGCCGACACCGTGTGCTTCTTTTAAGAGTTAGGATAAATTCCACATGACTTCATTAGTTCACGGATTTGCAGCTTAGCGAGCGTCTCGTTCGAGCCTTTGAGCCGCATGTTTGAACTGGAGTCCCTGCAGCTTCCCAGCTCAAAAATATCAGAGGAATGTTTGTTAAAAGATGAGACTCCTAAAGGGCATATTTTATTTTATTTTGGATTGGTCTTCCTTTTATATACGTATGTTCTTCAACTTTTATCTTTCATTAGAAGATTGCAGCTTTTGATTCAAATTATTCATAGATGGAAAAAGTATTGTGCCGTCAGGGCTTTTTTTTTTTTACAAACTGTCTTCAATTCTGCGGTGCGTCGTTATGTCTTCTTGTTCTTCCACTCAGATAAAAGCTGCAGCGGTGGCTCCAGTCACCACGACGGGGGACGAATCTTGAAGAATTCCCCGCCGCCCAAACCCAAAGCCATCTCTCTGGATCAAACAGAGGTTTTTGCTACCGTCCTCTTCTCAGAGTTCCTCAAAGAACTGGCTGCGATGGCGCAGGAGCACTCCATCCTGTCCTACATTCCTATGGAACAGTAGCTGCGTCCCAGCAGAGCCTCTGCGGTGATTTCACTCATGTTTTCAGCAATATTTTTTAGATACTACTAGGTGAGATGATCTGGTAATTTTGATTTTTAAATGCCTTTTTTAAATATTTATTTTCCTTCGAGCAAAAACGACCCGCTTCCTGTGTGAACTGATCTCATCAGCCTACTTTTGTAAAACATTTGGACGCCAAGAAGTCGACCTGCGGATTTATTTTTTCTTTGTGTATGCAAACTCCAGGTCCGCTGATCAAAGCCTGTAGCGCTCTGTGTGTGTGTTTCAGCAGACCTCTGCCCTTATCTGAACTGCTCGGGTTCTGAATGTGTCCTGCAACTGTCTCGGACCACAGCGTGCTGCTTGCTGTGGTTCTGGAACAATCCTCAGGTGGCCTCTATGCATCAGAACACTGAATGTTGATTGAGTTTTTTTTTCTTTCTGTATTTGACGAGCAGCAGTCTGTACAGAAACACCTCCAGGTTCAAACTGTTACAGCTTGATAGTTCTGTCGTATTTGTCTTTTAAAAGGGATAGTTCAGCTCTTCTAAAGTGGGGTTCTGTGGAAAGTTGAAGAACAATGAATATCTTACCAGTTAAAAACATTTTAATTGTACCAGTTTGATAAACATCACCTCTTTAATTGCTTTATCTCCACAATCAAATTATTTCAGAGATAACTAAATTAGAAGATAGTTTAATTCAGCTAACATCCAAGTGAAATACTGCTGCCTGTTTATAACAGGTAAGATATTCATTGTTCATAACCATTCTACAGATCTATCCCTTTAAATTTCCAAAACAATATAAATATATATTTTTGCAAACGTTTCAGTGGGTGTTGATTTGATTGCTAATTCATGGCAGTACCTCAGGAGTCTAAACACAAATTTTTGTTTTGTTGTTTATCAGCTGTGGAGAAGATGTATTTTTCTGCAGAGCACTAGTTTCTCATATTTCTGGACTCTGGAGCTTCTTTGTTTGTAGAAACAAACAAACCAGAGCAGGTCAATCAATGGTGTATTTGCCTTACTTTTAGCCATGCTTTCAATCTTGTACATATCATATTGAAAAAGTCAAAGAATACTATGCAAATCAAGCTTATTTGGGGTATAATGAGGTTCAGTTTTTTGTTATATTTGGATGGGGTATTTAAAGTTTTTTTATTTTTTAGTTTTTGATGAAATTAGATTTTGTTTGTCCTTACTTTGTTTCAGCTGGGGTTTTAAAGCTGTGAGAAGTTTAACATCTGTCTTTCATGAGAGTTGCAGTTCCTGATCTGCTTAATGCAAACTTGTAACATGAACTTAAAGCAATCTAATCTTAGCTGAATTTATTTTGGTCCAGGTATTGCACAGTAGGGACAGAATGGATGTCAAACTTACACCGCCTAGCCAAATAAATAAATAAATAAAAATAGTCGCCACCAAAAAAAAGGTCACACTCTAATATTTAATTGGACCGCCTTTAGATTTGATACTGTCATCTTGGACTATGCCCGTTGTTCCAGCAGGGAAGAAACAATTCATTGATGGAATAACCTGGTCATTCAGTAGATTCAGGTCAGCTGACCTCATTCTTTGAGCACATACTGTTGCTGAACCTAGACCTGACCAACTGCAGCAACTCCACATCATAGATCTTAGTTAAATCCAGGTGGTGACTTTTTAAAAAAACATTTTGGACAGGAAGTGTATTTTATAATTTGTTGCAAAATGCGCCTTTTATTTGATTTCACTAAAGACTTGCAAACTGGTGCCTAGTTCAGTTCAGTAGTTTGTCATTGTTAAAAAAAAGGCTGAGATAACTCTGGAGCATTCACAGATTACATAGTAATAATCATAAAGTGCCACCAGCAATAATCCTAAAATAGTGCCCAGTTTCTGATAACCAAATAATATAACCCAAAAATAGAAAAATAAAAGATCTACAGTGAGTAAAGTGCACATTCATCAAGTGTCTTATATATGGGCTTTTTGCTGCAGCAATGCAAAAACCAGTTCAGTTATTTAAGTTCAAAATGGGGGGAAGAGTGTGTGTGTGTGTGTGTGGGGGG